CACCTCAGCAGAGCCACAGGCTGATTGCCTCCATGCCACGCCACATTGAAGCAGTCATTTCTGCAAAAGGATTCCCCACCAAGTATTAAGCGCAGAATTGAACATAATTATTTGAAGGTTGACTTTTTCTATTAAAAACACTTTTCTTTTATTGGTCGGATGAAATATGCTGATTTTTTGAGATAGGGATTTTTGATTTTTCGTCACTTTTTTGCCACAAGCATCAATATTAAAACAATAAAAGGCTTGAACTACTTCAGTTGGTGTGCAATGAATCTAAAATTTATGAAAGTTTAATGTTTATCAGTACTTTACAGAAAATAATAAACTTTATCACAATATGCTAATTTTTTGAGAAGGACCTCTAAGCTGTAAAAAGGTTCATACGTATACCGCTAGTTGGCAGTGTTGTACATATATTGTACATGAATTATTGTCAGCTAGTAAGTGTGAAATTGAACTTGCACTTTAAAAATAGCTTCCACTAGTTTTTTATGGCATAAGTGCTTTTGAAGTTGCCAAACTAAATATTTTCATAAGCGCTTTAGAAATTGCGGAGCTAATTTTTGGATTAGCGCTGCCCACCACTGTTTAAGTGGTAAATTGTTTCCAGGTATGAGTGAGAGAGTGAACAGTTGTCTATCTCTATGACTCTGGTGACACTTGTGACCTGTCATGGCTGTACCCCACCCCTCACACAGTGACACCAGTGACCCTCCCTGCATCATTCTACATTTGATACAACCACCTACCTTGGCAGTGTGCTGCTACTGAAGGTCATCATGTTGTCATGATTTCCTGGTGTGCTGGATGCAGTGATCACTTCCACCTCTGCACTGGTTCTCTTCAGATTGCTCAGGGACGGTTCTCGGTAGGAAGAACTACGGGTCAAGATGGTTACTGGTTGATCAGGGGACAAGGTGTGGGAAGAGGTCCTTGTTATGATGGGTTTTGGTGGGCTGGGAACCAAGGTATGATGACCTATCAGAAAACATACAAAGAGTACATGTGAGGTGATTTGAATAATTGTAATTCAAATGATTCCTCTGTCCCATAGAAAACCAGATGAAACTCACAGAGTTGTTAGTTATACGTTCATAGTTTTTTTGAGAATTGATGCATTTAGTAAAGGCTAACACAACTCTTGGTTTAATAAATCCTGCAGAAAAAGCCTTCAAGTCATCATTGCAGTTAAACATACAGTTATTTTATTCTATTTTTTCAGAAACTCCCCACAACCATCTTCAAAGAATGAAGTTGGGACATTTTTCAAATGAGCTATCAGAAGGAAAAAGGGGTTWAAACTCATTGACCCATGCAGAAAATGCAGGAATAACATTTGTACAATTAAATGAATTTAATTCTAACTGTAGATACTTCAGTAGTTTGTAAGACACACGGGCAGGCAGTGTTTTTACCTTGATGACTGTTACTAAATGATGATTGGCTGACATTAGGGAGGGAGGACAGGGCTGGCTCTCTCAGAATGGGAGGAAGAGGTCGACTTCTGCAGCAATCTTCACTTGGCTGAAAATTGCCAACCGCATACACACCCTGCATGCCACAGATAGGGAAAAACAGAGTGAGGCAGCAACAAACTCAAAAGCCTTTAGGGAAACTACTGATTTTGGTGGAACTTTTTATACCAAATCCCTGGAATTTAATGGACTGTCTTCACTTTTTAAAGATAAATCTACAGCAGTGATTCTCAACTGGTGGGTCTACAACTCAAATGTGGGTTGTAGACCAGTTTTTGGTGGGTCCCAGGCCTTTGCTATAGGCAAAGACATGTTTTAATAGAATTAAGACAGATTTTTATTTTGGCTTTATGGTTAAAGTCAATGATACGAGGTCTGGGATTCTCTGGGGGATACACTTCTATATGATGTGAGCAGCCACAGACCCAGAGCAGCAGTAGTCCTGACAAGAGGTGTAAGATACACTGCACTGCCCCASCTAACAACAGGTGATGCTGTAGCAGTGCAGTTGGACATTCAGGCACATAATGAATCCACACTGATCATTGCAGCCTCTGTTTATCTGCCGTTTGATTCACAGCAGCCACCTCCATCCCAGGAGTTTGTRRCAATAGTCGATTATGAYAAAGATAAAGGCCTCCTGGTACTCATTGGCTGTATGCCAATTCCCATCATGTGTGCTGGGGGAGCTCTGATATTAACCCTAGAGGCAGATCTCTGTTATGGTACATTTACACCAAACACGTTTTGAGCATCAGGAGCATCTGGTTTACATGCAAAGTCAATGGTGGATGTGCATCTAGAGGCGTCTAGCAGCCGAGCAGCACATCTGGCGCATTTGGAGCAGCGGCTCGAAGCAGTGCACGTGCAGCATGTCCCWAGCGTCTGCCACGAGTTGGAAAATCTGAACKGTTGYTGCTCGCCACGTCGCATCAACCAATCAGAGAGACTCTGTTCAGTCATGTACTAGTGACGAGCCGGAAATACCGGAAGTCCGGGAAATCAGATCACACAAACAATGGAGGAAAAAGTGATAGTCCAATCATTTATGATCATTCCAGTGTCCGTTATCGTGATAGAAATAAAAAGGACTTTACCTGAGGACAATTAGTGAAGAAGTCGGCATGTTTGGTAAGTTAACAAAAATACGGTTAAAAAGGCTCCTCCCCTCAAGCGTCTAAAGAAGCGCGTATAAGTTCATATCAAATGCATYTGTCCAGTGTCGAGATGCGTGCGTTTTGAGATTTTTGGAGGCGCACAACACGTTTGGTGTAAACGTAGCATTAGAATACTGGCAGTCAGGCCCACTTCAGAGGACCAGAGCCTGTTGTAGGTACCTCAACAACAGTCTATAGGACTGCCCTACAGGCCTGGATTAGACGTCAACACTCAATCCTGTGGAGGGAGCTGATGGACTGTAGACAGGCACAGGAACTGATTAACGGCCCAAATCTAAGGTTTGGGAAAGCTATCATCTCCCTGTCAAGGAAAACTCTAAGTACACTGGTTGGAGTCCTACGTAACTGGGCACAATCTGCTCAACCAGCACAAAATGGTGATGGGACTCCATGACAATGGTCTGTGTGATGCCTTTGGAATTGAACTACAGACCTCTTTGCACTGCTTAGGCCACTGCTTGGCTATGAGTGGTCAAAGGAAAAGAATTCTTGGGGACCCTTTCATGCTTTGTTAGAAGCTCAGAACACTGAGTGTTTCTAACCTGGTGTACTTCATCCGAGGAACGAGAAGGTTTGAATGAAGACCAGTGTCTTTTGGGGAGAGCAATGGGCCCACTTAGGAGRCCTCCGCTCATATGGATTCTTTATTCATCCCCACTCAACAAAACAAACCATGTAATATGCCATTCATGTTGCATCTGTCTTGGGGTAGTAGGTTAAGCGAGTCAGAAAACCATGACATCATCATTTTCTAAAATATGTTTTTAGGCTGTTCATATCAAACACAAGGCTGGTGTTTAAAGATTTTCTCTCTGAAACCCATTTTTCAAACAATATTGTGTAAAGCCCCCAAAAATTCCATTTCTGTGTGGACGCAATGCTAAAATAATGAAAAATGTTTGTGTATTCACAAAACATGTGCAGTAGACACAGGACCAAGCTGTCAAGCTACACGTCTCTCTGCTGCTTTAACCACATATCAGTTTACATCTCATTGTTCATAATGGTATGCAAAACACCAATACACAGCCACCTACACACAGGAATAAATATTCAAACTTATTAACTGTAAAACCCAAAATATTTGACAGCAGCAGACTGTTACCAGGTAAACTGCAATGGCAGCTCCAAGGAACCACCCACAATAGACATCCACAGGGTGGTTTCTGAACTGAATGATCCTGGTTAATCCAGCCAGGATGGCCAACATGACGAAAGAGAACACCAGCAGAGGCTTCAGGAGCTTGGCAGAGTCTGTCAGCACTGTGTTGAAGTACATCTAAAAAAATAAAAATMTAATTTTACACAACTTTAAACATTTTTCTGATGATTACACTGAAATCAAATTTTCATTAGTAGTTATAGGGCAGCAACTACTCACTGAGACGTAGACAGCAGCGAAGGCAGCCAGTGTAGCATGCTGGGATGGAAAAGACTTCCTACAAGACAGAAAGGAGGAAAGGCTGAGTGTTCCTTATACTAATTATGCTCAGACCGTTGAGAACAATGCTGAATATTCATTTGAAACATGTGACTTTCTATTGGCAGCCCTAACAGGTGTTCAGTAAATGCACAGTATGAAAGGATGACAAAAAATATGACATCTTCTACTCTAGACATATGGTGTCCCACTTTACAGGTCAAGTGTTCTAAATACTGCTGAAAATGAACTGCAATCATTTTTGCTTACTGAACCAATTTCTGGGCAGATATTTAAAGTTTTTAAAAGCAAACAAAAGGGAAAAAATTGAATAGGTCCTCTGGACGGGTTCTTCTCTAATGAAACGTTTCGTCTCTCCTCCAAGAGACTTCTTCAGTCAGACTGAAGAAGTCTCTTGGAGGAGAGACGAAACGTTTCATTAAAGAAGAACCCGTCCAGAGGACCTATTCAATTTTTTTCCTTTTGATTTTTTTACCTGGATTACTGAGATGTATCAGGACATTTAAAAGCAAATGTTTTAGACTACATGGTAAATGGACTGTACTTATACAGTATAGCACCTTTCTATCCATCCAGGACACTCAAAGCTCTTCACTCTACAATTTGTGTCCTCATTTACCCATTCACACAGCACTCTGTTAGGTCTCTACAAAGCTAACATGTACAATCATCTATGGAGACTAATCAGTGCCAATCACATTCATACASTGATGGGACACATCAGAGGCATTAGGGCTGAAGTGTCTTGCCCAAGGACACAACAACTGAGACAGCTGGACGGGGGATTGAACTGGCAACCTACCGATTCCAGGACGACTCCCCTAAACACTCTGCCACAGCCACCCCAGTAAATACTTTATTCCATAAACAGTTAAATGTATACTACTAATACTACTACCAAAATCGCATTATAATAAGAGTTGAATGAAACTTTATTGATCCCATGAAGGGAAATTACAGTTTGGAACGACCCATTCAAAAAGATAAAGACAAAACACATCAGACTTGGAGAACAGATGGCCCAGGTCAAGCAGCCATGCAAGGCACTACCATTAAAAGAAAAAAGAAAAGCCAACAAAAATAAATAAATATTCAATAAAAAAAATTAAAAATCCTCATACTTTGTCCCTACAAGAACACAATTTGAGTTGAAAAAAACTCTGCATAGAGCACATTTATTAGCCAGAGGAGTAAGTGAGTTTAGGGGTGTGAGTATCTGAAGCCATGTTTGTTGTATGCTTGTGTGAATATCTGAAGAATGAGCCCGAAGAATCCAGTCCCCCAAAAACCCACCCAGCCATAGTTCAGAATACCGATGTTGATTGTTCATTCTGTGCGGCCTTCAGCTTGCCTCCAAGAACCAGATCACAGACAGTAGTTAGAGGGAGGGGATTTGGGGGAGCGAGCCACAAGTCGATGTAAACATCCAGGATAATTTAGATCCACAGCCCTTCRAGGTCATGTAGGGGAGAGTTGAATCTGTAATCACAGTTGTTTGGGAACAGAAGAAAATGTTTTYGGTCAAGCAGGCAATAACAATTTTCCATCTGTCTTAATGTCCACTGGTACATCCCAATGTTACGAATCCAATCAGACAAATAGTGTGTGGGCAATCCCGCTGGGCCGAGCTATCAGCTTCTCCAAGATCAAGTCCATTTTGCCATTGAATTCCAGGGACCACAGCCGGCCYGCGACCCTCAGCAGAACCCCTTGCAGACCGAGTCCCAGCTTGCACAGGGCGTGATTCTGAGTGCTGATAGAACGGCAATCCTTCATATTGGTCAGTCAGCCAGGAAATGGCCTGAATAACCACCGACGCCGTTTTTGCAGAACATCAAAAGACCACCAAGCCAGTCTGTAGAATCCAGTGATCAGAATTCAAATATAAATCCAGCTAGTTGTCCCAGTCGAACAGAGGTCCCACCTTTGACATGTCCTCCCATGGACTTTCATTAAGAGACCAGCTAACCAAATCCATAAAAGTAAAAATATCCATACTTTCTGGTTTTGGATGAAAACGTAGAGAAGCTCCAAGCAGCAAAGCAGGGAAGATAAGGAAGGGCAGGAGAGACAGGAAAAAGCATCTTACTCCGAGAGCAGAAGCAAAAAAAAAAATAATAATAAAAAGGGTTGCAATCCATTCTGGCACCTGGGTCAACTTATAACAAGTGCAACTTCCTACAGGAAGTTTTGGTCTTGGCCTATCAGTTTTAGATAAAGCACATTTAAAACAAGTAAAGCTCATCAACGTGTTTTAGAGTTAAACCAGAAAACTGTGGCAAAAATATAATAGCAAAAAAAWGTTAATCTAAAATCACAGTAAAACATATAAATGTGTGCAAAAGTAGATATGATCTATTTAAGTTTGTTTCTATGTTGAAGTCAAAGAAAAAAAACTTGGGTCTTAAGCAGAGATTTAAAAGTTTCAAAGCTTTCCCACAAACTGGAAACTGCCACTCCAAAAGCCTGATCACCTTCAGATTTTTATTTGGATCTTGGGACATCTAGGTGAAACTGATAGGATCCCAACTGTTAATAAGGCAAGTAGGCTTGATTGACAATTAATTAATATTAATTAAATCAGTGATCTGTACTGAATGGGAAATAAGATGCCCCCTAGCTGCAGGAACTGCTGAACCTTTTCCTCCAACAAACTTCTTGAAATTTCAAAGCTGTGAAACATCTTTTAAAAAATATTTAAACGTCAGTGACGAACACGCAAATTTAGACATGCATCATCCTGAGAGGGAAGAATACAGTTCATTCCCTTCACAAAATCTAACTGAAGACTGGAGAAATGCAAACAATGCAKACAATGGGTACTACTACATGTTTGAGTGTACAAAGACAAACACAAGTAGATACACTGTGTACTGACTGTTGTGATTTTATATTATATATTCATGTTGGTTTATTCTGTCTTAAAGAAACCTTCATGTTTCTAGAACAGGTCGTGGTGGAGGAGTCGCTGCAGTTCATCAGTCAGAATTATTAATTAATGATAAATCTAATATTAGTTATAATTTGTTTGAGTCTTTGTCCCTCAGTCTTTCTCATCCAAAATGGAAATCAGAAAAACCTTTGTTACTTGGTTTAACTCTCTTGGCTGACTTTATAGCTACTGACAGTAAACTTCATTATAGTAGATGTTTATCAGAGAATACTGTAGATAAATTTAAAGAATCTCTTCCATCTTTAYTTTCCTCTGTCTTACAGAATAATGTAACAGAGAACAGTAACTTACATGGTCTTGTTGATAATATTATAACTTTAATGCAAACCTCTGTTGATGAAATTGCTCCACTAAAAAAGAAAGTTATCGATGGGAGGAAGCCGACTCCTTGGTTTAATTTCTTCAGCCAAGTAGGACCTGAAACTACTCCAGTGCTGACCCCCTGAAGCCCACCCAGTCTCCAAACTGCAAAGTAAAATCTCAAGCTCCACTGTATCAAATACAGCAGTTAAATCTCAAAGCAAGAGAACACACTCACCAGAGACAGTGGCTAAAAATACATTATTCCAAAGTATTCATTACAGGAGCACTGAGAGCACTGTGACAACAAGATTACACACTGAGTTTGTCTTTTCAACAATAGACTCCTTCAACCAACACAAATAATTTCAGTGCACACACAAGCATCATGTGACAGACCAACACTGACTCACAGAGGCTCACCTCCCAGCATTGATCAGTCCTAAGTCCTGTCCAGAGCAGATGTCCTCCAGAATAAAAGCCTCGTCACAACTGGAAATGTTGATGTGGGTCAGGTTGGGTTTACACACTTCCAGCCAATAGGGAGTGTGTTGRCCAGTGGACAGCTGGAGAATGTCAGTTATGAGTGCCGTCACACACAGTCCGAAAATATGGATACCTGTGAAAAACAACACGTTAACAAAATACAATGGAGTTAATAAACTAATATTAGAGGTACTTGTTAAATATGATAACTTAACAGATATTATRATTGTAGGTTTTCTTTAGCTTTTAGCTGCTTGTCCTTTGTGTTTGTGTTGGTGTGTTTTTAAAATCAAACAAAAGATGTGATCAGCTGTAACACGGCATTTATCTTCCCACCTATAAAGCGCACTGCTCTGCGAATGTAGGAGTTGAAAGTACATCCTGCAGCGTTAATGTTGGCCTCAGTCTGTGCTGATGATGACCTCCTCGACAGATAACAGTACAGGATGGCCTCTCCTATCAGGATCTAGTGGCCAAAAGGCAAAATGAAACATTTAGACATCAAAAAGCTGTTTTTTATGTCACCTGGTAATAAAAAATGTTTCATGTTCTTTGAATTCATCATCAACTTTATTTATAAAGCACTTCAACACCAGCTGCAGCTGAAACAAAGTGCTGAACATCAGTAA